GTTGGAGACCGTGGGAATATAAACGAAGCAGAGGAAGGCCCCAAATGAGATGGGCAGATGATATCAAGAAGCACGTGGGCTCTAGATGGATGACTGTTGCGACAGACAGAGAAGAATGGAAAAGGATTGGGGAGGCCTATGTCCAAAGATGGACCGAAGGAGGCTAATTAGATAACAATGTGTCATCCGCATATCTCAAATTATTAATATTGACGCCATTCATTTTTAGACCACATTGAACATTATCCACTGCTTTATTAACGAAAATAAAGAATCTAAGCAATCTAAATTAGGGTAAGGTGGGGGAAGTGCGCCCCCTTTTATTTATATTTGGTTTTAATTGTATCAATGCTTCAATTGGGTTATTTCTGTCAAATCGAGAATAAGTGCACCAAGTACTTTGACAATGATCTTTATTTAGGGAAGATTCCAAATCTGTGGCTTTTCACGATTATTAATTATAATTTTTTTTTCTCTTACATATCGCAGTAGTGCACTTGCTACGTCAGTTGGGGCCAAGTGGGTCTCCCGGGCATAGTTTTATATAATTTCCTTGCGTTAAATTACGGGGTAAGTGTACTTATTTACTAGGATTTTTTGAACACAGTTCTAATTTTTTAATTTTCATAATTTTGAAAACAAAATAACTTTAGAAGGGTCGAGAGTAATACACCAAAAAATGAGAAAGTAGTTTATTTAAATGCAAAAATTGTACAGTTTACCTTAATTTATGTTGCATATTTTGCGGAAACTTAATATTGAAATTATGCGTTCCTCTCCTAACATGTGGAGCTGGTAATACTTTAAGGATATCCTCTTTTGGCACAAGGTATATCTTCTACCTGAGGAAAAACAAAGCACTTTGTTTTTTTCCTCAGGAACTTCACCTGGGTATCACTTTCAATGAGAGAAATCACGTGGCCTATATATAAAATGTCATTTCTGTCCCGACGTTGGCTCTTGAAAGAAACCAGAACCCAGGATCCCACAGAAAATTTAGGCGGAGAACCAAGAAATAGTTCCTCCTCGTCATCTTCTACTTCTAACGAAATCTGGCCCACGAAATCGCTACCTTCAGACTCATCGTGTAGAGGGATCTGATCGTCTTGGTCTTCATCACTTGATTCTTGTAAGGTGCCTTTGATGGGTCCGCCAGCGATCACTACACTGCCTGCTGCAACTCGCTTCTTCTTTCTTGCTGGAGTTGGTGTTCTGTTTTTTACGGTTTGTAGTAGGAGAGAGTCGAAAGATACTGGACATCTGAAAAATAGAGAAAAAAAAAACATAAGGTTACGAGAGTAGCTCGCTAAAATCCTACGTCCATATTGTTGAAATAAGAAACTCACGAGCTTGTCTCGAAGGTGGCAACATCTGTCACATCTAGAGAAATCTCTTGGTGCTGATCTCTAACGTTCGCTAAAATCTGCGATCGCCTTAAAGAAGAAGCCCCGTAACGATCTTCGAGTACAACTTTATCATCAAATGGAAAGATACCTCCCTTCTTAAATCCCACCTAGATTTTAAAGCTTTGAACACTGCTAAATCCAATGGCTAGAGAATGTGACTTGTATGAGCCGGTAGTTTGAGGATGGTGATTCCTTTCGATCTCGCGTAATTGACCCAATCTGCCGTGAGGTGGGTTGAATGTTTGTCGTAGATAACTAGTATAGGCCGATCAGGACCAATGTTTTTTACAAAAGTACGCTAAAAATAGTTGCGAAATAGAATAGCTTCAATCCAGCCATTTTTAGTAGCGGCATAAGCAGTACCAGGTAAGGCATCATGTTCGTCGGCCATCCATTCATTCCAGATATTTTTGCCTTTAAAAACGATTAATGGAGGAATTTTTTCGCCACTAGTGCTTGCTGCCATCACCACTGTAGTGTTCTCCCTTTCCGGTCCACTGGTGGTTCTTGTGCATGGTGCTCCTTGCTTCTCAACAACTTTTGTTTTAGAGGGGTCACTCGAAAATCCGATTTCATCTATTTTGTAGATTCTCTCAGGTTTGTCAGCAAGTCCCAAATATTGAATAGTTTCGCTCAATAATTTAAAATAATCTTTAACAACAAAAGGATTCATGGCTTTCTTGCTTGCAAACTCAACTATTTGTGGTTTCTTTATTGACAGCTGATTAAAGCTGGCGTGTTTCGGCATTTCTTTCTAATTTGTGGCATTTCTGAAATATTGTGGGTGGGATCTTAAAAAAAACAGTGTATGCCTTGGCGTAGTTAATAGTTACGTTTAATAATGTCATAGGCAACTTCGCGATATAAATATTTCGCGAGCGTGCGAGCTTTTATTAACGTTTTTAAAAAAGTAATACTTTGATCACTATTATGGATTTAAAAAAATAATTCATATACAATTCATATATTCAATAATAATTCAGGGTGAGTCATGAGGAACTTTACATACTTCTACCATATGTAGAGTCCCTCAGGGAGCATATCATGTGGCCACTAAAAAATGTCCACTCCTCTTCTTTATTAATTAACAGGGTGATTTGTGTAATTAACCATTTATTTCATTTTACTGTAGTGTGTATACGGCTCATTTGATTTTTTTAATTTTTGCATGATACAGTACACTACTATCAAGCATTCGACTGGTATTAGCTAAACTAAAAAATTTCAGGACTGGCTTTGGAAAAATTTATTTAGGGATTCGTATTAAATATTACACCCTGTATATATATATTTTTTTAAATGCAATAAGTGATTTTCAAACTACATAAATAGCCAATGAAAACGACATATGCGACAATGTTGTCACACTTTTATTAAATTTTTAGTGAACGATCAAATCTTACCAAAAATAGAATAACCATAATGAAGTATCAAATTATAAGGTATTAATTTAAACAAATGTTATAAATTTTAAACATTTTAATTAAAATGAGTTCCTACAACATAATCTAATACGTAGAAAATTAACATCTTTACTGTCACTTTGTATTATCTCTACGATAGAATGAATTGTTTTTCAATTTTAAATTTTTACTCATAGATCGTATTGGGGCATTATTTTCGATAAATAATAAATTAAATTGATTAAAAAGTCAAACCTCTTGTATGTGTTAGTTTTTGTTGATTGTAAATGATTAAAATTGTATGTCAAATAATAAAACATTGCATCAACTGTACTAAATAAAAATAAATCTAAAAAAGTTTAAAATGAAGGTTGGCGTTGACCGTTTGACGTTTCTTGATATTTTATACCCATTGTCATTATTGTCATTATCAATTGTTATTTATGTGTACAAGAATACATATTTCTTCTGTCATATCTACGTTAAGTACATTGTGTTAGTTTTGGTAGAGCTTTTGTTACTTTCGTTCAAAATGCCACATAGGTTTTCGACCACAGAGTATGCAGACATAATATTTGTTTATGGATTCTGTAATGGGAATGGTAGGGCTGCTAGTAGAGAATATCGCAGGAGATTTTCTAATCCTCGAACTCCCAGTCATCCAACATTTGGGTCAGTTTTTAATTATTTGCGAGAAAATGGCACTTTTCCTAGTGGAACAACAGAGCGACATGTAGATGAAGCGCAGGAAGATGACGTTATGGACGATGTTACTATGAACCCTACAATAAGCACTAGACAAGTAAGTCGAGAACTCAATGTTACTCAATCAAAAGTAAGTAGAGTCTTACAAAAAAATAATCTATACCCATATCACATTCAAATGGTTCAGCGACTACATGCTGGAGATGAGATCGATAGGTTGGAATTTTGTAGATGGATTAACAATAATCGACCAACGCTATACAGGACACTATTTACAGATGAAGCCCAATTTACCAGAGACCGGATAAATAGTTCACGAAATTCACATGTGTGGGCAGAAGAAAATCCCCATGCTATTCGAGAACATCGTTCTCAGTTAAGGTTTTCGGTCCTCACTTTTTTGATGGTCCTTTAACAGGGCCGGTCTATTTGAACTTTCTACAAAATATTTTGCCGAATTTGTTTGCCAACGCGAACGTTGCTATCCGAGGGATGTATTTTCAACATGATGGGGCACCCCCACACTTTTTACTGGCAGTGAGACGACATCTCAATAATGTTTATGGCAACAGGTGGATAGGACGTGCAGGTCCTATTTCGAGGCCTTCAAGATCCCCTGATTCCAATCCCGTTGATTACCATATTTGGGGACGATTGAAGCAACTAGTTTACGCAGTGAATATTAATAACCGACAACAATTAATTGATAGAATTATACATTGTTGTAATACTATTAGAAACGATCCCCAGAGTATCCGCAATTCAATACGTCAATTAACAATTCGGCAACAAAAATGTGTACAGGCTGCAGGGTTCCATTTCGAAAATCTATTTTGAAATATTTTTATTTTGTTACCATTATTGTATCTTTTGTTTTTACCATTATTATTTCGTTTGAAATTTATAACATTTGTTTAAATTAATTACCTTATAATTTGATACTTCATTATGGTTGTTCTATTTTTGGTAAGATTTGATCGTTCACTAAAAATTTAATAAAAGTGCGACAACATTGTCGCATATGTCGTTTTCATTGGCTATTTATGTAGTTTGAAAATCACATATTGCATTTAAAAAAAATATATATATACAGGTAGTAATATTTAATACGAATCCCTAAATTAATTTTTCCAAAGCCAGTCCTGGAATTTTTTAGTTTAGCTAATACCAGTCGAATGCTTGATAGTAGTGTACTGTATCATGCAAAAATTAAAAAAATCAAATGGGCCGTATAAACACTACAGTAAAATGAAATAAATGGTCAATTACACAAATCACCCTGTTAATTAATAAAGAAGAGGAGTTGACATTTTTTAGTGGCCACATGATATGATCCCTGGGGGACTCTACATATGGTAGAAGTATGTAAAGTTCCTCATGACTCACCCTGTATATTGTACCAATTCTAAATAGGATATTTTAAAATTATTTAACATTGCCTATTATATTATTGTATTTAAACTATTAATGGGTTTTTTGTTTTCAGGTGCTTTCCTTATTCCTTTCGCTATTATGTTGGTATTGGAAGGTATCCCGTTGTTCCTTATAGAGTTAGGTATTGGCCAAAAAATGAGACTAGGTTGCCTCGGAGTGTGGAGTACAATCCATCCCTGGTTAGGAGGCATCGGAATTGCATCGTGTATAGTAACGTTCTTTGTTGCCCTCTATTACAATGTGATCATTACGTGGTGCTTTTATTATCTCTTCAACAGTTTTCAGGTAAGATAAATTCAAAATATTATTAGTCAAATGAATAAATGATATTTTAAGCCCTGAGATAACTTTGGTAATTTTTGAGTAAGAAGTTTTTTTTGTGTAATATGGCTTTGGCAGAGCCAATTAGCCAGACTTGTTTGTTTTTATTGTTAAAATCGACTGAATTTTAATTATTAGTGATTGCAGATTCATAGTCAAAATTTTCTTGTTATAAGTTATCAGTGTTAGTACTACATATACCTAATATTTATACATAAATTATATTTTGATATATTTTTTTTGTTTCTTTTTTTTATTTTTTTATTATCTTTTTTTGTTTTCTTTTTTTGTTTTGTTGTTTTTTTTTTTGTTTTTTTTTTGTATTTATTTTTTTTTTTTGTTTTTTGTTCTATTTCTATTTTCTTAATTCTTTTGTTTTTTTTCAAATCATGTTAACAGATTATGCCTATATACTATTTACATCTTGTATTTACACATTTTAACATGTTTGTAAATGCAATGAAGAATTTCCATATTATTTGAAAATATTAAAAGATTAAGGTTTATTGGAAAACAACACTTAGAATTTATTAATTCCTTATAAAGTTTGTTTATATTATTAATTTGTAAATCACATTCTAATATAATATGTGTTAGATCGTTATAATATATAATATGTGTTAGACTGTTATACAGTGTCAGAAATGCTTAAGGTATGGACATATGACACAACAATGTAATGGGAAAGAGCGTTGCAAAAACTGTGGTGAAGATCATAATAATAAGGACTGCTCTGTGGAAACTAAATGTTTATACTGTGGTCAGAAACATTCGGCACTATCAAGAGAATGTTCAGAATATATTAAACAACGTAAAATTAAGGAAATTATGGCAACAAAAAATATCTCGTTTCAGGAAGCTGAAAAAGTTCAAAGCAATCCAAATTATTATTCAAACATATTAACTAATAATAGATTTTCGTTACTAGCTAATGATTCTAGTAGTTTTCCTCCGCTACCTTCCAAAAATGTTAATGTACCTTCAGTGTGCAGTATCTCTAAACCGAGAGTTGTACGAAGAAATTCCACATCAAGTAACAGATCTGAATCTTTTAAAAAAAGAAAACTGAACAGCCAGTTCGTCAATCTTACCAAATCCTTACAGGGATGAGTTCATGAGACATAAAGAAAAAATAGTTGAAGGTATTACTAATATAATATTCAGCTTTCTCTCTGATGTTGTAAATTGCAAAGATTATATAGACAATGATCAAAATTTAATTAAAAAACATATTTCAAATCTATTGGAAAATTTATCCACATCCAATGGATCATAACAGTTCAAATAATTTAAATATAATTCAATGGAATAGTCGTTCTACTGTATCTAATGCGCAATCTTTTAAACAATTTCTGTATTCGAATGGTATTGATACTGCAATTTTATCTGAAACATGTTATAAGACAAAACACACATTGTTTATAAGGAATACCAAATTATTAGAAAAGATCGTCAAGATCGTAGATTTGGAGGTGTAGCTATATTTTTAGGCCTACGGATAAATAAGTATAAGATATTGGATATTATAAATGTTGGAACATTGGAAATGTGTGGTGTAAAAATTGATTTTAATGGCAGAATAATTAACATAATCTCATTATATAAACCTGACAAGAATATAAGCACCCGAAAATGGGAACGGCTTTTTAATTGGTGTTGGTCACTCGAAGGAGAGACGGTACTAGGAGGTGACTTCAACGCCCATCATGCGGTATGGGGTTCTCCAAAAAATGATATTGATGGCAATAGAATAATTGATGCATTAACTGATATGGATTTAATATTTCTAAATGATGGTTCGGCGACTAGAATTACCCCTCCAAACTCTACAAAATCAGCTGTAGAATTAACACTAATAACTCCTGGACTAATTGCACTAGCACATTGGCAAACATTGGATAGAACTCTTGGATCCGATCACTATATTATTTCCATCAAGTTGAATATTGATGTACCCTCTTATGTTGTCTATCCAACAAGGAAATGGAAATTAGAGAAAGCCAACTGGGAATTGTTTCATAGCACTCTTGAAATGGAACTGAAGAATGTTGTATATTCTGAAAACTGTAATGAAATGGCATTTAATCTGAATAGAGCAATTAATACAAGCAGTGAAGCTTCTATCCCCCAAAACGTACCCTTCAGTCCTAAACATAGACAAAAATCAATTTGGTGGGATGATGAATGTAATACACAGCTACAGCTTAAGAAGAATGCTCTTAAAAAATACAAAACCGCATCTACACTGAATAACTTTCTTGAATATAAAAAGATAGAAGCTACAACTAAAAAAATCTTTAAACACAAAGCAAAAAACAACATGGATTAAATTTTGCTCCAGTCTTAACTCTAGTTGCCCATCAACTCAAATATGGAAGATGGCTAACAAATTAAACAACAAAAACACAAACATCAAACATGCTCCTTCCGAAGTTGCAAAAGATATTCCACAGAAGTTATGTCCATCATTTGTTGACAAACATATACCTTACATGGCTTTAAATCCAGAAGAACATTATTTATTAAAAGAAATAACATCATCTGAACTGGAATATGCTATCAAGATATCCAAAAACACAGCTCCAGGTCCAGATCAGATTTCTTACATCATGTTACAAAAAATGGGTGTACTGGCTAAAAGACTACTACTACATATTTATAACTGTATTTTGCAAACTGAAATACCTCCTTACAAATTTAATGATTGCTTTGTTATATTAATTCTAAAACCGGGAAAAGACAAAGATAATCCGGAATCATATAGACCAATAACATTATTGTCATGCATTTTTAAAACATTTGAAAGGATTCTCAAATTGAGAATGGAAATTTGGTTAAGGCGGCATAATATTCTGCCAGCAACACAATATGGATATAAACAAGGCTATGGAACCACGGATGCAGTAGTTCGTCTGACTACAGATGTTCAAATTGGTTTTTCTAATTCCATGACAACAGGTGCATTGTTTATTGACATAAAAAGTGCATATGACAATATTGATTTAAATATCCTCTGTGATAAACTTGTGTTTCTTGGCGTTCCAAAATCGATAGCACATTTACTATCAAACCTATACAAAGAGAGAAGTGTATCGATAAGAGTAGGTCACAATATTATTGGACCCAAGATCACATCAAAAGGTATTCCACAGGGAGCTGTTTTAAGTCCACTTCTTTTTAATTTGTACACATACGATTTGCACAATTTATGGTCTCCCAATATTGTTTGCTTACAATATGCTGATGATATTGTCATCTATTCACATAAGAAAACGTACAGTGAAAGCACTACTGAACTCCAACATATTATGTACAACTTGGATAATTGGACTTGGTTAAATGGTTTCAATATTTCGTACCAAAAATGTGCCGTAGTATTTTTTTCAAGAAAACACCCTATTAAACATCACGCTGTAACCTTACATGGCAATGATATTCCAATTGTTTCGGAATTTAGATATCTTGGTGTCGTACTTGATAGAAAACTGCTTTGGACACAACATATTAATTATACAATAGGTCGCTGCGAAAAAGGTATCAATTTTCTTAAAATGGTGTGTAAGAGATCGTGGGGTGCAGATCAAAACATTGCATTGAATTTTTATCGAGCCTATATAAGATCTATAATAGATTACTGTTGTGTGGTATATGGGTCAGCTAGCATTACCAATTTACGTAAACTTGATAGAATTCAATTTAAAGCTCTAAGGATTGTGTTGGGATTGATGAAAAGCACTCCAAATGAAGCCACCCTAGCTCTAGCATCTGAAAACCCACTCTCATTGCGCAGAGAATATCTGGCAAGCAAATATTTCCTAAACCAACATTATCGTGGCACTTATAATGCAAAAATAATTAATGAATTAAATACAGCTGATTTAACATCTACATACTTCATAAAAAAAAACTCTCCACCACTTGCAAGAGCAATTATAACTTGCAACGAACTGAAGTTAATAAATTCCCCTTGTACTTTTATCTGGGAATCATTGGATATACCACATCTAACAAGTGTTCTGGCTACAAATATTAATATCCCTAAATACCAAACGAATTTTGCTACACTACTCTTAAAGAAATCCTAAGTGGCTATTCAGATCATATTGTGATCTATACAGACGGGTCAAAATCACCAACATGTACAACCAGTGCTTACTTTGTACCAAAAATGAAGATTAAAAAATCATTTATTTTAAATAATCAATCCAGCATTTTTTCTGCTGAAGCATGTGCTATATACAAAGCCCTTGAATTGTGCTGTGAAAACCAGTGGAACAAAATTGTCATATGCAGTGATTCACTGTCAGTATTACACTCTTTACAAAACTTTAAATTCACAATCAATAGCAATATATTCATATTAGAAATTTTTCAACAGTTACTAAAACTATCAGATCCATATGGTACTAAATTTCTATGGGTTAAGGGACACTCGGATATTGTTGGCAATACTATTGCTGATTCTATAGCTAAAAATCCATTACAGCACCCACATATGGTGATAGAAGAATTTAACACATGTGACCTACTTGCCTGTATCAAACAACATATTAAATTTAAATGGGACAGACAATGGATTCAGTTTGGTGAAAGCAGGGGCACTAATTTATACAAATTACAACCCACAGTAGATGTAAAACAGTTTTACAAATATGTTACACTAAGCAGAAACACAGTGTCAACTGTCTTAAGATTAAAAGTAAATCATGGGTGTTTTCCGAAACATCTACACAAAATAGGAGTTCTCCCAACAGACCAATGTGAGTGTGGAACTAGTATAGCTGACTTAAACCACATATTCTTCAACTGTCCACTACATCGTAATAAAAGCACGTGGCTGATAAAAGAATTGATAAAAGAGGGATTAAGTACACCATTAAACGTAAATCTTTTATTAAGTGAAGACAATATAAAAATTTTTAAAATTATTATGATATTTCTTGTAAAAATTAAATTAAAGGTGT